CCCCCACTTGGGTCTCCATGTCTGGGCTGAGAAATTACAGTAGTCTTGACTCCTTTGATTTCAATTTTTCTCTCTTCGACTTCCACCAAGCTTAGAAAAAAGGCGGCAGAGAGTGGGGTTGGGGGAGGTGTGGTAAACTTCCTTGTCCTCTGTTGCAGGCGAGCTTTTGATCAAACCTCTATAAAGCTCATTAAAATATTTTCATACATGCGACGGTTTCTTTCTTTCTTTTTTTTAGCAAAATTGGTAATGATTTAGGGTCCCACCCTCCTGTATGGAATATTTTAGATTGGAAATGGGACTGCATGAGCTGCATATTTGAATGCATCCCTCCTTCCATTAATTAACTCCTTCCATGCTGGAAGTCAGGGAGAAATTGAAGGCAAATGAGGTCCAGGCAGAAGAAGAACATCATGGCTTCAAAACCTAAGGGACTGGTTAGGAGAAAACTCAGCAGCACTTTTTCATGTGGCTGTTGACAAAAATAGGATTGCCAACATGATTGCCAACGTCCAATGATGGATATGGCACAAGAAGAAAAATGCTGGAAGTCAGATTCTGGATTGAGATTTGAAACCTTCTCTTCTTCTAGTTATGATCTTTTTATCCTGGAACCCACCACTGCTGAGAACTGTGGCCATGGATGAAACCCAACTCTAGCAAGATATTAACACTTTGGTCCTCAATTCATTTAGCAATAGCAATAGCACTTAGACTTATATACCGCTTCATAGTGCTTTTACAGCCCTCTCTAAGCAGTTTACAGAGTCAGCCTCTTGCCCCCAACAATCTACGTCCTCATTTTACCCACCTCATAAGGATCGAACGCTGAGTCAACCTTGAGCTTGGTGAGATTCGAACTGCGAGATTACAGGCAGCCAGCAGTCAGGAGAAGTAGCCTGCAGTACCACTTTCTAACCACTGCGCCACCGCAGTTCAAAACTAACCAGTCTCATTATCAACTTCTTCTGTTTGACCACAATCCCTTGTTTGCCAGCCAGTCTGGCTTTAATTCCACCTCCAACCGGCAGTGGCTGAGTATCTATTCAGCAAAAGAGGCCGCGATTATGTGGTTTGAAGACAGGGTTTAGGAACTCAATTGCCTTCAGATTCATCAGAGCTCTCCTTGTTCTGAAGGTAGAGAAGGTTTCCTGATGACTCCGGGGCACTTTCCTCACATTTGCAGTTTGAACGTTTAAGAAAGACCTATGTGTACACCTGGAAACCACAAAGCCACAGAAATGAAAACCATCTTGGAAGATGAGTCAGACATCTGGAATTTGCTGAGCTCCCTGTCAAACATGGAGGGGGTCGTCCAGGAAAACGATAGAGCAGTATTTCTCAATCAGGACTGGTTTCCGGGGTGTGGACTTCAACTCCCAGAATTCCCCAGCCAGCCTGCTGGCTGGGGAATTCTAGGAGTTGAAGTCCACACCTCAGAAACCGGTCCAGGTTAAGGAACGTTGTGGTAGAGCATAAATTCGGAATGAATGCCCTTTCAATCAAAACATTTCCTAGATGAGGATCTAGCGACTGCAAAGAATGTCCTACTCATTTATTTTAAGGTATCCTCATCTATTATTATAATTAATGAGCCAAAAGAAACAGTCACATTCTTGTGGGGTAGAAGAAAAAGAAAGATTTGCAGATAAACTTTAGACAATTCTATAAAAACAGGAAGTTTTCCATACATAAAAAGGAGTATTATGAGCATTATGTTTTATTCAGTTGGGAAAATCTCTGGCTCCTCTAATGTAATAAAAACATTCCTCAATACCAGCTCATATTTGTTAAATAAAATCCTCAAGCATTAATTTTGGAAATGAAGAAATAATATGTTTTCTTTGACCCAAAACAAATTCCTCTAACTGTCATATACAGCAAGAAATGAAAAATCAAGATCAGAAAAGAGGGGGTTTGATAATAATAATAATAACAACAACGACAACAACAACAAAATATAAAATAAAATAATAAAATTTAAAAATAAAAATTAAATAAATAAATAAATAAATAAAATAATAAAATAAAATAAAAAATAAAAAATAAAAAATAAAAAAATAAAAAATAATAAAATAATAATAAAAAATAAAATAAAATAATAAAATAATAAAATAATAAAATAATAAAATAATAAAATAATAAAATAAT